CCCTGGCCGGGACTTGGCGCGCCAATCTACAGAGGCACTGGCGCACGCCAGCCGCCAGGCTGTTCGCAGGTGCAGACGGCCTGGCTACTGAACGAGTCATCACCCACACAGAGAAGGTCTTCCCGGGCAGAAAGACAAGGCGTTTCGGCACAAAACGGGAGAGAGGGAGGCCCATCCAGCCATCCTCCTCCTCATCCTACTCCTACATTCATGTCCCTTATGAACAGCTCGTCCCTGTCGCACCCCTAAGCCTGTCAGAAGAGCGGGCCAGGCGTCCCGTCTGAGACTTCCTCACCAATTATGATCCTGATGCTTGAGAATTGACAACAGCTTTACGGAGTGAGGGCGGGTCGTCTTCAAAATGTGGCTCTCGCCTAAGAGCCGCGCGAACTCGCTTTAAACAAATGCAAGAAAGCTTCACGGATTGAGGGCGGGTCGTTTTCAAAAGGTTGCTCTCGCCTCAGCGCCGCGCATATGTCTTAAACATGTGCAAGCGCTTCACGGATATGTGACTATCCCCTTCGCCGCGCACATTCGTCTTAGAAATTCGCCAGAACGTCGCGGTTGGAGAACGGGCAGTTTTCAAAATGTGGTTTTCGTTTGAACTTCGCCCACATTCAGTTGAAGAAATTGCAAGAGTTTAGCACCTCATCGTTGATGAGTCTTGGGTTTGCACTGGTCCTCCTCCTCCTCCTCCTCCTGCCCTTCCTACTCCTCCAGTCCTCGCCTTAGCGCCGCGCACATTCGTTTTAAACATGCGCGAACAGTTTGACGGATTGAGGGCGGGTCGTTTTCAAAATGTGGCATTCGCCTTAGCGCAACGCACAATCGTTTTTTTTTTGTTTTTTGCCATTCTATACATATAGATATTTATATACAGATGAAAGAGTTTGGCAGATTGAGGGCGGCTCGCTTTCACAATGCCATCCTGGCCTTAGCGCCGCACGCATTGATCGTCACAGTTAGCTAAAAAATCCACGGATTGAGGGCGGCTGCTGTTCAAAATGTGGCTCTCGCATTAGCGCCGCGCTCATCCGTTCTAAACGTTTGCAAGAGCTTCACGGATTGAGGCGGGATCATGTTCAAAATGTTGCTCTCGCTTCAGCGCCGCGTACATTCGTTTCAAACAGTTGTAAGAGTTTCACGGATTCCCATGGTCAACGTACCAGAAATGATGTTTTGTAAGGGTTCAGGATTACGCGGGTACAACATTTATTCGCTGTGTTGAAATCCGAAAGAAAACGTTCTGGCATGATTCCCGATCGTCGAGACGCAGCAGTCAAATTGATCCGTGACGTGAAAATCCAAAGAACAATGTTTGGGCATGTTTCAAGGTCGTCAAGCGGGTGTCTTCCAACGGGTCAGTTCCTCCATGTAAATGAACCGTTGTAAGGGGCCTATGAAGAGGGCGCTTGGAGGGAGGGTAAATTCCAACATCGTTGATGACTCTTGGGTTTAAACTGGTCCTCCTCCTCCTCCTCCTCTTCGTCCTCCTCCTCCCCACTTGGGGAGCACGCTGGTACCGACCTCCCCCTCCTCCTCCTCCACCTCCTCCTCGTCCTCCTGCTCCTCCGCCTGTTCCTCCTCCTCCTCCCCCATCTCCTCCTCAAATTCTTCCTCTCTGCGTGGAAAAGCGGGGGGCCCAAGCCGCGACCTGGGCGTCCGAATGTGTGTTCGTCATGACCCGCTTCCAGCCGGTAAGCGCGAGCGCCGCTGGAGCGCCGGGGAGGGGGGATAGCGACGACGCGGCCGGGGCCCGAGCGGCGGGCGGCGGGAGATTGAGGAAGAAAGACGGTGGCTGACGGGAGGTTGACGGGAGTTCGGGAGGAGCGCGATGCACAGCGTTCTTGGAGCGCGGAAGGGCGGGTGACGGGTGACGGGTGACGGGAGGGCGGGAAGGCGACGGAAGGGTGACGGGAGGGCGACGGAAGGGTGACGGGAGGGCGGGAGGAGGAGAGCGGAGGGGTGACGGCCGCGAGCAGGAAGGGGCGCGTCGTGCCGCGCCCGCTCCCGCCCGCGCCGCCGCCCCGAGGGACAGGCGACGGGGGGCCCCGAAGCCACGGGACGCACGCGCTGACACTACGCATGGTGTCCGCGCGCGCGGCCAAGCCGCTCAGGCGCGAGGGTCAGGCGGCCGCGGCACCCCAGGAGGACTGGAGGGGCAAAGGCGGGGCCCCCGCGAACAGACGCGGGGCGGGGAGGGCTGCAGGGCCGACATGGCCCACCTTCCCCGCTCCCACCACGCGCCGCGCCCGCGCGGCAGGCCGCGAGGAGGTGCGCGACCTTGCCGCCGAGGTCGTCCTGCCCCCAGCGGCGGCCGCCGCCGACGCCACCTCCTCCTCGCTCCACGCCGCCGCCGCAAGCCACGGCGGCCGCGGCGACAGTCCCTGGGGGCGCCGCGCTGGCGGCCCATCCCCCCCTCACCTCGTCCTCCTCACGCGGCCAAGCACCGCCGCTGCCACCGCCGCGCTCCTCGCCACCGCCGCAGGCCACGGGGGTCGCGGCGAAGGCCCCTGGGGGCGCGGCACTGGCGGCCCTCCCCCCCCCTCACATGCACATCCTCACGCGGGCTGGCACCAGCCAGGCCGCCTCCGTCACCACCTCTGCCCTGTGCTCCGCCAGGTCGGCGTACGGGTGAGCTCCTCCTCCGCCGTGGGGATGGTGGGGGTGACGAGCTAGGGCGGACCGCGGGAGCGCAGGTGGTGGCCGTCCCACCCACCCCCTGCCCCACACCATCCCCCCTGACAGGCGCGGGCAGTGTTCGTCCTGCCCCCCCGCCCTTCGAGCCCGTCTCGAAATTTGCTCCTTGCCTCACCAGGGCATCCTTGGTGCTGAGGTCTCCGCGCCCACGGTGGCGACCGCTGCTGCCGTCACCTCCGCCGCGCTCCTCGCCGTCGCCGCAAGCCACGGGGGCCGCGGCGACGGCCCCTGATAGGGGGTTCCGCACTGGCGGCCCTTCCCCCCCTCATTTCGCACTCGCCACGCGGCCTGGCACCGCCTCGCTCCTCGTCGCCGCCGCAGGCCACGGTGGCCGTGGCGGCGGCCCCTGGTGGCGCCAATGAGAGCGGAGGGGGGAGCAGGGAAAGGAGGGAAAGGAGGGAGCGGGGGGGAGGAGCGAGCGAGGACGGGACGATTGGAGGAGGGGAGGGGGGACGACAGGATGGAGGCCAACAGGAGGCCGGGGAGGAACGTAGGAGGGAGGCCAGCAGGAGGCCAGGGAGGAATGTAGGAAGAGCAGGAGGCCGGGGAGGAATGTAGGAAGGGACTCCTAGGAGGCCGCGGGAGGAGGAGAAATGCAGGGAGAGGGGAGGAGAAGGGAGGAGGGAGGTGGACAGCCGCAACTGGGGGGCAGCAGAGAGGGAAGCAGCAGCCGCACCAGCCGCCGAGGCAGGGCGTGGGGGCTGGCCGGCGATGCGCCGGTTGGCCCGCGTGTACAGCTCGTGCTCCTGCGGCGCGGCAAGGCCGGCTCCGACGGCGGCGACAAGGTCTATCGGCGATCAACGGCGGCAGGGACGACGGACGATGACTGTAAGGGTGTCCTGTCCTCCTGCTCGGCCCGCTGGCTCCATCCCCCATGCTCCTCGGGCGCAGCTCTGCAAGGGGGCTCGGGGGGTCCTCGGGCCCCATTCCTTGGGATTTTCACCAGGGCACTGCTCGCGAAACTGTGTTTCACTGCGTCTCTCTCTGTCTCTCTCTTGATTTTTTTTTTTTTTTCTCTCTCTCTCTCTCTCACTCTCTCTCTCTCTCTCTCTCTCTCTCCTCGATATATATATATATATATACATATGTACATGTATATCTATATATATGTAAATGTATGTGTGTATATGTACATACGTACATCCACACACACACATATATATACATATATATACAAATATATATGTGTGTATACATACACATACACATACACATACATATATATATATATATCTAATTCATATGCCGGAGTACGGGGGGGCCGGGCCCGGGCCCTGGGCCGGGACACCCTTCTGGATTCCCCCCCCTCCCTTTTAGGGCCCCCCCCGGGGCCTCCCAGGCCCCCCCCCCCCGGGCCGACCAAAGGAGTTCCAGGGAGCACGACTCAGCGACAAGAGCGGCGCAATAGCGCCCAAGACGACCCAAGATGGCCTCAAGATGGCCCCAGGAGGCTCCCAATACGCCCCAAGAAGGCTCAAAAATGCCCCCCAAGAGCGCCCCAGATGCTCAAAATTGCTCCATTTCCTTCGGAAGCCGTACATGCTCAGCATACTAGCTTCTTAGGTCTTAACAGCGTATAACCGCGTCCAAGACGGCCCAAGAGGCCCCCAAGATCGCCCCTGGACGGTCCAAGAGTCCCCCAAGAGAGCCCCAAGACGGCCCAAGAGGCGCCCCTGACGGCCTGAGATGGGCCAAATGGGGGGGAACTCCACCTCGCATTCCGAGCCCCTCGCTCCAAGTCGGCCCCCAAGGACCCAAAACAGGCCCCAAGAGGCCCCAAGCAGCTCCCAAGAGCCCCCCTAGAGGCTTCACAAGTGGCTCCCAGAGGCGCCCGAGAAGCATGCCAACAGACCCCAAACAGGTATCCCAGAAGCCTCTGACCCACAACCCAGGCACGGTGGCAGCATGAGCCGAAGGCGCGTAAATCCGCCGCCCCCTGTGGTCTTGCCACAGGGGTGCACGGCGTGCTGGACGATTCAGGTGTTGGTTTTGGTTCTTTTTCTAAAAGAACTCCCCAGTGGGCTTCGGCCCGTCCCGCCGGCCACCCGTAAGTTTCCGAAAATCCATCTGTCAATGCCTTTGTTGCCCCAACTTGGCCCAAGATGGCCTCCAAGACGGCCAAGATGGCCCAAGATGGCCTCAAAGATGCCTCCAAGACGGCGAAGATGGGCTCCAAGACGGGTAAGATGGCTCCAAGATGCCTCCAAGACGGCCCAAGATGCCCTCCAAGACGGCCAAGATGGCCCCAAGATGCCTCCAAGATGGCCCACGAGGCCTCCAAGACGTTCTCCAGGAGAGCCCGAAGAGGCCAACATCATTGGTTTTCCTTAGGTTTTTGAAGGTTTTTTGCGTTTTCTTCTTTTCGGCCTTCCGACGGCCCAAGAGGCCCCCAAGATCGCCCAAGAGGCCTCCAAGAAGGCCCTATGACGGCCCAAGGGACCCCCAAGACGGCCCCAAGAGCGCCCCAAGACGGCCCAAGAGGCCTCCAAGACGCCCAACATGGCCTCCAAGACGGCCCTGAAGCGCCCCAAGAGGGCCCCAAGACGGCCCAGAGAGGCCCCCAAGACTGCTCCAGACGGCGTCAGACGGACCAGGAACGCCCTAAGACGGCCAAAGAGACCCCCAGGAAGCCCCCAAAGGCCCCCAAGAGGCCCAAGGAGGCCCCCAAGATGCCTCCAAGAGGCCTCGAAGAGGCCCCCCAGAAGCCCCCAACAGACCCCAAGGGTGCCCCAAGAGACTCCTAACAACCCTCATCCTCCTACTCTATTTCTTCCTCTTCCTCTTCCTGTTCATAATCATTCTCTCCCATGTGTTCCCCGAAAGCTTTCCAAACCGACTCGGGGAACAAGGGTGCCCCAAGAGACTCCTAACAACCCTCATCCTCCTACTCTATTTCTTCCTCTTCCTCTTCCTGTTCATAATCATTCTCTCCCATGTGTTCCCCGAAAGCTTTCCAAACCGACTCGGGGAACTCATGGTCCGATAGCTTGGCCAAGCTCTAATCCAACTTTCGGCCACATCGGCGTCTCCAAAAAGGCAGGGGGCGGCGGTGATTCGCCGTAGGCGTCTTCGATAAGCGAACAAGTAGCCTGGTGAAGGGCGAAACCTTCTGCAGTCACGAGTAGCGCAGGGCGCGGCCCTCTTTTCATATACTGCGCACCGCGGGGCAATGCGGATAGGGGGCATGCGCAGGCGCGCTGAACTCCTTGTTGTGGTCACGGCCCGCGTCAAGGGTGTGCCGAATAATCTGGATGCACCCTCGGGAACACGCCCACTGACGCAGCAAGTGCAGCTCCCTGTGGGGCACCACCCGTGTGAGGCATGTGCCGAAATGGGCGGGGGGACGCCATGCGAAGTTGCCCATGGGCTCCACAGGGAGCTCCTTCCGGGGTGCGATTCGCGTGAGGGGTGAACCGGATTCCACTAGAGAGGCAAACAAATCTTGAAGGAGATATTGCGGTGGCTTCGCAACGTCGAATCTGAACATGTGCTGATGGACGCGGTGCAGGAGCAGCAGCTGCCGCCGAATTATTGGTGGCAGTTCGAGGCTGCGTGGCTACTACGCCAGCTACCAGGCTTCAGGTAAGGGGCCGGAGCCACGCGATGGAACCAACCGACATAAGCGTGTGATCCGGTTGGCAAACAAAAAAACGGCCCAAGATGGCATCAAGACGGTCTCAGTACGGCCTAAAGAGATTTCCAGTATAGCCCAGGAGGCCCCCAAGACGGCTCCCAAACGGCGCCAAAATACCCCGAAGACCGCATATCCAGAATGCTTCCGAGAGGCTCCAAGACGGCCCAAAGACGGCCGGCAGTGGCCAGTAAGCTCTTTAATTATGCCCTCGAGAAGCCAAAGTCATCAAACTTCATGCCCTGCCGGTGCGACCTGGAGGGGATTCCTGGCCTTCGTTGCATAACGTTTTGGCCCCAGGTGCGTGGCGAAGAGGGCGGGGCGGCCTTCGATGCACCCTGGCTCGGCCCTGGTGGCGTATACTACGAGGCCAGCCTCGGACACCCCTCTTCTTTGCGCAGTTCCTCCTCCAGTCCCAGGGCGGATCGAGAGAAGCGCAAGATGCGTAGAAGAAGCCCTCACGACTCCCCTACACGTCGCCGGGATCCCCAAATTTAATTGCCGCAGGTCCCATTACCGCCCCCAAATAAGCTCCAGAATCGCCGATTCATACCTCATTGGCAACTCGCGATGCGAGTTCCTTGGGCGCGGCTAGAACCTAAGCGCGTGCGAAGCGCGCGCGCGTAGTCCTAGTGTGTTTATATACACACACTGCATACACATACGCACATGCATATTGCGGCGATACTTTCGATATGACTGCGCTCAGCAACGTGATGGGATACATGTCAGAGTGAGGGTGTCGAACGGTCATTCATTGTCCCTGGGTGCGTGGCTTAAGTGCTGATCCGTGGTGCAGATTATGTTTGTTGCGTTGTTGTTGTTGATGATGTTAGAATCGTTGTTGTTGCGGTTGTTGTTGTAGTTGGTTGTGGTTGTTGTTGTTGTTGTTGTTGTGGTTTTTGTTGTTGTTGTGCTGTTGTTGTTATTGTTATTGTTGTTGTTGTTGCTGTTGTTGTTGTTTCTGTTTTTGTTTTTGTTGTTGTTGTTGTTGTTATTGTTGTTGTTGTCATTGTTGTTGTTGTTGTTGTTGTTGTTGTTGTTGTTGTTGTTGTTGTTGTTGTTGTTGTTGTGTGTTGTCGTCGTCCCCCCTGCGACGCGGCCGGCGACCCACCCGCGACCCACCCCGTGACCCACCCTCGACCCACCCTGCGACCCACCCGCGACCCACCCCGCGACCCGCTCGCAACCCACCCGCGACCCACCCGCGACCCGCCGGCGACCCACCCGCGACCCACCCGCGACCCACCGTCGACCCACCCGCGACCCACCTGCGACCCACCTAAATTGTTTTAGCAAACACTTCGCCGTCTGCGGCGGGCTCGTTGTATAGATTGAAAACTGTTGCGCCTGCGGCGGGCTTCTTCAGAGCCTCGCAGACTACCGACGTCCCCGCCGCCCCCTCACTCTTATCCGCAACTGCGGGGGGCTATATTTATTTCTGTGCAGCCCCCACGGAGCTCTTGGGTGTAAAGAATCTTGTGGGCTTCCAGGGTCGCCGTGGGGGGAAGACAAAAGAAATGCGCCACCTCGACCGCCAGTCAGGTAGCAGACATCAGAGTGAGGGGGCCGAACTGTCATTCATTGTCCCTTGGTGCGTGGTTTAAGTGCTGATCCATGGTGACGATTCTGCTTGTTGCGTTGTTGTGGTTATTGTCGTTATTGTCGTTGTTGTTGTTGTTGATGTTGTTGTTTTTGAGCTCTCACTTCTGAAGAATAAGCATTGTTGACCCCCCCCGTCCGGTGCACATTGATTTTTCGATTGAAGTGCCTTTCCTGGGGCTCGCACCCGGTTTTATATCAGGGGAAGTCTCGAGGGTCAAACTGTGTCGATGGCCCCCGGTTTACAACAACAACAACAACAACAACAACAACATCGGCTCCCGCCTGAGACTTCCTCACAATTTAGCCAGGACCCCCGTTCGCCCGAGACTTCCTCGCGTTTTATTCAAGAATCGTGCTCTCGCTTGGGACTTCCTTAGAATGTATTACCCCAGATTTCTTCCAATTTACTCAGGCGCCGCGCCCCCGACACCCAGGCACCCAGGAGTCGCGCTCACGCTTAAGACCCCCTCACAGATTACATAGGAATCGGGATCCCGCTGCCCTTCGTGG